TTAACGCCTTGGGTATAAAACTACTGAGACCAGAGTTGCCGTTCAATAATGTTCCTTTAATCACACACTTAACTTCATAATAGCAAATCAAACAAAATCTAATAATCCTTGTACCAAAGGCCTCGTGAGCCTCTTGTCCCCAAAGAGGAGGAACTTCTTCTTGGGACAGTACATGCTTACCAGGGGGTCGCTTGGCAGAGCAACAGTGCCCAGCGCTGACTTCTAGGGCACAGTCCGTTGAGGCTGGTCATCTCGCCACCTGGAACAGGGCTCTCACCTCGGCTAGTGTTCTGAGGACGAGAGACATAGTCTCATTCTCTAAAAAGAGAGTAATTGTGATTCCAATGGATTAGCACTTTTTATGGGTTTTTCTGGCACAATGCTCAGTTAAGGTGTATCCTGGTTTGCATTGGTTGGCTCTGCTTTGTGCCTGCCTAGCGTGTACCCTATCTCCAGTACACACACTACCTTCTGTATTTCCTGGTATTCACACACTTCTCTGCATCCTAGCACTCACACACTTACTTCTCTATTATTTTTATATGCCTATTTCTGGGCTTTAATACTGCTCCTTACAGCCCCCTTCAAGGCATCTCAGAAATGTGATTCATTATCTAAGTAACTAGTTGCTAATCAAGCTTAACATTTGTTTGACATACTTTCCTGTACACATCAGAACTCCCTGCTTCACTAAGTTTAAGCTTCTCTACCCAATACCTTCTTCTCATAAAGCTGCACATTTTTCATGACTGATTAGCTTTTTGTATTCCCTGTTACCTTAGTATACAAGGTATACTGAGACAAGTATTCTGGGTTGTTCTGCATAATAATGACATACAATCAGCATCAATAAATATCAGTTGAATGAATAACAAATAGAACTGTATACCTAGCATATTGAAAACAACTGAGTATCTGGCTCAGGGACAGAAGAATCTATTTAAAATTTAAAAGCTTAAACATCAAGTCAATATGGTGGCATAGCAACTTAAGTTGCCACTTTCTGTAACTCTGGCATACTATATCGGCGCTGATATAAGTCCTGGTTATTCCACTTATGGCTCATCTTCCTACTAAAGTGCCTGTGAAAGCAGTGCAACATAGCCCAGTCACTCGGAGCGATGTTGCCAACATTGGAGACCCAGTTCCTGACTTCAACCTAGCACAGCCTTCTGGATAGAAAACCAACACTCCAGAACTCTGCTTTTCAAATAAACAAATAAATATTTTTAAAAAGCTCCAATTTTACCAATCCAAATTTCAAATTAGTAGAACACATAAACATTTCTATAACATTTATCCAAATATATTCTATGTCATTTTCTTTAAAAAATGTAAAATTTGAGTCCCATTGAGAATTGATATATGAAAATGATCTGCAGCATTGTTAAACAAAGAAAAATGTGAGTGAAAAAATTGAGCTTATTCCTGTGTAAACAAAAATAAGGTGGAAAAAGCCTTCAATGTGTGTCTTTGTATGTGTGCAACACAGATGTACCCAGCTATGTGAGCAAGGACAACAGTGGGGAGGGATGAGCAAGTGCGTTTGCAACAGTTAAGGAAGGATACGCAGGTTCTCTGTTAATTTTTCTTTATAAATTTGTACCTGAAATATATTTGCAGTGCATTTTAGAGAAAGTCTTAACACTTTTTTTGGTAAAACAAATTTGATTCTTCCCACTTACCTCTTCTGTATCATTAAACAATGCCTTCAGTTCTCAAACTTCTCAGTCTGTAAGAAAGTAATAGCTCTTGCCATGATGCCAGCTGTGATTATTATTAATTTTTCTGAGCTTACCACTGACGTTTTAGGCAGGCACTACTCAAAAAGTTTTTTCTTGGTTGTACTAATTTAATCTGCATAATGAACACATGACAGACAATATTAATTCTGCCTGAAAGGTCTGTCACCAGGATTTAATGAGCCAACACACATGAAAATACTGCTATAAATTGCACAAGCTGACAACAGAAGCAATTGCATCATTTTGACATGTAGTCATGCATCTTAGAAAACAAATTTATTGAAAAATGTCTATTGAGCTGAGATCTTGTGAATATAATGACTCTCATCAAGATTGTGTTTAATGTTGCACTTAAGCACTACTATCATATCTGTTTTCCAAAATAGTAGCCACTAGCCACAGAGTGGAAGTCAGTATGGAGATTACCTAAGGAACTGAAAGTAAACCTGCTGTATGACCCAGCTATTCCACTCCCAAAAATATAACAAAAGGAAATAAAATCCTGAATATGAGAAAAGGATCTGTAATTCTGTATTTATAACAGCACATTCCACAATAGAAAAAAACGTGGAAACAACCTGGATGCCTGTCAAATGAGGAATGGATAAAAGAAACTGTTGTATATCTACTCCATGGAATATTACTTAGCCACTAAAAAGAATGAAATTCTACCATTTGCAACCAAATGGTCCCAATTAGAGATTATTAGGCTCACTGAAATAAGTCAATCCCAAAAGGACAAATACCATACATTCTCTCTGATATAATGCAACCTTGATGCAAACTCTAAGATCTAAAGGTCTTTCAATACTGATTTTGTTGCAACTCGTGGGTTTTGATATTGTTGCTTTTATCTTGATTTCATCAAAATAGTTTCTTTTTCTTTTATTAAATTCCTCACTAACTCATAGATAACACAGTAACATCAGTTTCTGCAAGAAGGTTTTTTTGTTTTTTGCCTTCTTTTTCATTTTTTCATTGACACATAAGTTCTTCAGTAGCATATTATTGAACTCCATGGTATTGTAAACTTTTTTAAGTTTATCCCTGTTGTTGATTTTGTTTTATAGCTTTCATTTAAGGGAATGTGGAGCACTGTATAATAGAGACTATAAGCAAATATTCAGATATCATAATGCAGTATGAGTCTCTACTTCCAGACTAAAGATAGAAACCCAATGAAACTGTTCAATATATCTTGACAATAGGTTGCTGGACTGTCTGCCGTTGTCTGTATCTGCATTGTCAAGATACACTTAGATAATAGAGTGATGGACTTATGATTGCTTGTGGAGGCCTATACTATTGTAATGATATGGGGAAATCAGTTGGTGGCAGACAATTTTTGGCAGGGGTAAGGGAAGTCCCAGAGGCTATGGAATTGTACCACAAGATTAAAAATAAAATGAGAGAGGGAAATAAAGAGAAAAAATAAAATAAAATAAAATAAAATAAAATAAACAAAATAAAATAAAATATCTAATCCTCAACCTGTTGTGCAGGCATTTCATATTGGTGTAGGTTCATGTCCCAGTGGCTCTGCTTCCAATGCAGCTCCTTAATTATGACATGGGAAAGTCACAGAGGATTGGTCAAAACCTATGGACCTGCACCCATATCTGAATACAGAAAGACACTCCAAGGTACTTATTTCAGATTTGTCCAAATCCGGCTTTGTGACCATTTGCAGAGTAAACCACAGGATGGAAGATCTCTCTCAATGATTTTCCTTCTCTCTGTGAATCACTCACTCAAAAAATAAACAAATAAAAACAGAAAAAGGTAATAATAAAAAATTCTAAAAGTCAATACAGGAATACATTGTCAATTCTAAACCAAATATATTTTATCCAGATATTGCACAATAATGTTAACAGATACAAAGATGTTGATACAACTCAGAAAATTAAAACAACTGTTAGTAAGCCTTGTGAAAAAGAATATTTGTTGCCAAAACAGCATATTTCATTGTACAAGTTCAGCTAAAACATTCCTGAGACCTTTGAATCTCAAGCATAGACAATCAAAAGCTTTTTTTCTGGCAGGATTCACGGGAGAACATGGTGGTACTAAAACGGACTCAGTGTACAGCTGGAACATGGATATCCTCTCAACCCAGCAGAAGGTAAAGACTGCAGTCACCCGAGGAAAACCCTGTGCTCATGCATATCTGTCTCCTAAACCACCTCAAAGAAGGCATTCTTATTTCCATGCTACAAGCCGGGGTGGTAATCTCACACCTGGAACTTCTGCTTTTTGTCATCACTTCTCCCTGCAGGGATACTTTTTGTGGAGTGAGACCTGGAGAGCCCCATTGCGGGGACTTGCTGACATTGATTCTCCTTATTATTCTCACTATGATTCTTTCAAGTGACAAAATGTTAGGCATGGAAAAACTAGAGTTTATAGCAGTTGCTCCTACATGGATTAGGCAAGAGATCTCATTTTGTGAGATGCTGCAACGTCCTATATGTTGCTGGTTTGTACTAAAACAAAGCAGCACACACGCAGAGGGAGGTGCATACAGACTGCTGAGCTGTAAGTAGGCTCAGTACCGTGGTTACTCAACGTCAATGTCAGCTTCAGGGCGTTACGATGAATGCATTACATCACGTCAGGGGGCAGCATTCGAGTGGTGAGGAAGGGGACTTGGAACACAATTCCACATCTTGCGTGGTTAAAGCACTTCCAGATAAATACCTGTTAGAAATGCAATGAAAACAGAGGCTGACACGGAAGTTGCATTTTGCAAACAGCGGGGGAGGAGCCATTTCTGCTAGTGCTCTGGGCTGGGCGGAAGTGACATCAGAATGCCAGAACAGTTGTCATAGCTTGGAACCTGAGATACCCCGCAGAGAGTAGGTTTTGGAGGCAGTACGGCGAGGCTGAGCTGGTGGTGACTGCGGAGGTGTGTTGAGGGCATTGGCGGCGGCGGTGGTGGCAGGAACATCATCACCCAAACTTGTGAAGTACCTTTCCAGCCCGCGACTTCACCTGCAAAGTTACATAGAGCAGCAGCAGCACAGGCCGAGAACTAGGCTGGGCTCGCAAAGCCGTGTGTCACCATAAACGGCCTGGCCCCAAGAGACCCTGCTGCTCTGACTCGGTCCTGCCTGCATCACTGGGAAAGGCTCTCTGCCTTCCTCTGTATTCTGTAGGCCTGCTTCCAAGCGTAGCCCAGGGGAGGAGCCCCTGTGCAGTCAGTGTCTCCTCAAGCTTGTCGAATTTCCACTAATGACAGCACTTTCTAACGCAATGGCGAGTACCAGCGATGCCTTGAACGAATTCATCGTGGGAGGGAAGTACAAACTGGTCAGAAAGATAGGTTCTGGCACCTTTGGAAGCATATATCTGTCTGTTGATGTCAGGACTGGGGAGCAAGTGGCAGTCAAATTAGAATCGCAAACTATCAGATACCCTCGACTGTTATACGAGAGCAGGTGCTACACAATTCTGCAGGGCGGTGTCGGTATTCCCCGCTTGAGATGGTACGGGCAAGACAAAGGCTATAATGCACTGGCCATGGATCTTTTGGGACCCAACCTGGAAGTCCTCTTCCGCTATTGTTCACGGACTTTCACTATGAAAACGGTTCTAATGCTAGCTGATCAGATGATTAAAATAATTGAATATGTGCACACTAACGACATTATCCACAGGGACATTAAACCACACAACTTCCTGATTGGCCGCGGACGTCACTGTAATAAGGTTTTCCTGGTAGATTTTGGTATAGCAAAAAAGTACACGTATGGTCCCTCAGGTAAACACATTCCTTTCAATCAACATAAAAATCCCTCGGGCACTCCTCTCTATGCCAGCCTCAATGCCCATCTTGGGTTTGAGCAGAGTCGCCGAGATGACCTGGAGGCGATAGGGTATGTCTTGATGTATTTCGCTAGAGGTGGCCTGCCATGGCAAGGCCTACCTGGTAACACAAAGAAACAACGTCGTGAGAAGATAACCGAGACGAAGCTGTCCACCCCTGTGGAAGTTTTATGTGAGGGCTTTCCCACCGAGTTCACCACTTACTTAAACTATTGCCGTGCTCTGCAGTTTGAAGAAACTCCGGATTACATGTACCTGAGGAGGCTCTTCCACAATCTTTTCCGGAGTCTGAATGACCCTCCTGACTACACCTTTGACTGGGCGACAGTAAACACAAACTCGGCACAACCAGCTACAGCTGTCACCAGACAGGTTCAGGAAGACCATCTTCCCGCTCACTCCCAAGGATAAATTGTGGAGCAACACTGGCTAGGAGCAAGAATCTAGAAGTTTTCTTCCACTGTATAGTAATCTATGGCTGTCCAGAGGGATTTGCTCGGCCTTTGATGCTAATCTCATTAAACACTTTGTCTGAAAAGCCTTGGTACTACTTTTTCTGACTTGTAGTCACTGTTATTGTGAATGTTCACTGAAATACAGAAACATAGGCTCAGGCGTGTTGCATTCTCTTAGGTAGAAAAGCAAGGGCTTGACATACACAAATTGGAGGAATGGCCCTGATGCCCGTTTTTGGTAGGCTCTTTTACTGGACTGGACTGGACTGCTTTGATGTCACATTTCACAAGAGTGCACACAAATTTTCAGCCACAGTAGTGGTGATGGTAAACTCACACAATTTTGCATTCTCAGGTTATGCCCTACTTCACAGTTAACAGTTTGCACACTTTAGCATTCATGAAATGATTGGTCTCTTGTTTGAACTTCGGTTGATTGATCAAGTGGCAAATAAAGCTGCGAGTGTTTGAGCACATGAGGGTGTACCCGCTTACCTATGCTGGAACTAGCAGCTTCTCACATGAAACCTTTAGTTAAACATTTCTTACACCTCAGCTTAGCAAGCAATGGATCCTCCAAATGTTATGAATGCAACATTTTATTACAGTAAAACCCTGGAACAGCTCATCTGTTCTCATCCATATAGACTGGCCGAGTTAGAATGTCTGATAAATGAAATAATTCAGTATGTCTTCTTTGATTTCTGACTTGTGTGGCCATTTGGGGGACAGAATTCTTGCATCAGATATACCCTCAGCACTTTGATTTTTGTATACACTAGTCAGCTTTTCCAACCACTACAAAAGCAACGGAAATAACCCTGATTACAATGACTGAATTTGTGTAGGTAGTGCTAAAATTGGTTGGCAATGCTTATAATCAATAAAATACAGTACTCAAAACTTTTGCATTCCAAGTTAGAGTCTTTTATTTCATTTTCCAAATAACTGTAAAGGTTCTTCATGAATGCAATTGTAGCTTATGCACAGAATGAAACTCTAATTTGTGTGCTGAAATTGAAACATTTATTCACATCACCTGATGGATGAAGCTTAGAGGTATGAAAAGAATGTTTTCGATGATCTGTGAAAATTAATACATGAAGTAAAAAAAGAGAAAAAAAGAGAAATCACTATTTATATTTATATTTCAAAGATATAAAACTTAAATGCTTACCTAAAATTTTGCATTGAGGGAATGTGTCTTTATTTTAAAAAATAATTGTAATTATTGGAAAGGTAAATTTCAGAGGGAAGGAGAGACAGAAATTGCTCTTCCATCCAAAAATAGCTACAACACCTGGACTGAGCTGATCCAAAACCACCAGCCAGGAGCTGGGATCCTTCTGGGTCTCCCACTGTGTTCCCAGGCCATTGGCAGGGAAGTGAATTGGAGGAAGTACGGCCTGAACAAAAAGTGAGGCTCACTTGGAGTGCCTGCCAATGCAGACAGGGGCTTAGCCAGATGAGCTGGACCACATTACACACTGAAGTGAGATAATCCTATTTCCTACAAGTGTAGTATCAAACATGCTGCAAAAATAAAGACACATGACACAAACCAGCCTTGGGATCCTGCACCTGCATGGGAGACCCAGAAAAGGCTCCTGGCTCTTGGATTCAGGTCTACACAGCTCTGGTCTTTGTGGCTACCTGGGGAGTGAACCAGCAGACATAATATCTTTCTCTCTGCATGCCTTGCATATTGGTCGTTACGATAAGAAACATTCTTTTTTAAAAAAGATTTACTTATTATTATTTTTTGCTACAAAGTCAGATATACAGAGAAGAGGAGAGACAGAGAAGAAGATCTTCTGACCAATGATTCACTCCCTCAGTGAGCGCAATGGACGATGCTATGCCGATCCGAAGCCAGGAGCCTCTTCCGGGTCTCCCACACGGATGCAGGGTCCCAAAGCTTTGGGCTTTCCTCGACTGCTTTCCTGGGTCACAGGCAGGGAGCTGGAAGGGAAACGGGGCTGCTGGGATTAGAACCGGCATCCATATGGGATCCTGGTTCGTTCAAGGTGAGGACTTAAGCCAGTAGGCCACGCCGCCAGGCCCAAGATAAGAAAAATTTTATTAAAAATTATTTTAAAAGACATTCAATGAAATGCAGAATTTGATACGAAACATATGTGACCATAATGAATGATTGCATGTAACATATTGCCATTGGAGACCAAAGCAAAGGGCGGCTTGAATTCATTGGGCCTTTTCTCAAATTACTGTTCATTTAAAACTTCTTCATGTGGAAACGGTTGAGAACAGACATGAGGAAATACAAGCGGGCTGTTGGAACAGACCGCCCGGAGCCCTTACCCACAGTGCTCAGCGCGGGGCATCAGGGCCTTCTGACATCCGGGACTTGGAGCCTTGGCTGGCAGCAGCCTCAATGATGGCGGCTGAGGCTGACTGACAGGAATTGTGTGAGGCCCAAGATCAGACCAGTTCCCATCGGGCGGTGTTGGCGGCCCTGTGGTCTAACTGGCTCCGCACCCTTTGCCCAGGGTATCTCCACGGAGGAGAGGCAGCACAGCTGCCCAGAAACCAGTGGCACAGCCGCCAAACCGCCCCTTCAGCCTCGGCCGTCTGCCCACCGGGCCAAGGAAAGCACTGTGAGCCTTGGTGGCCGGGCTAGTCAGCGCCATCTGGGCACTGAGCCAGCGAGAAAGGCGTCGTTCTCCACTGGCCTCTGTCTGCCTTCCGCCTCAGCCTCGCCTCTGCCTGGGCACCCCTGGTGCCCATGAGCCTCCCCTCTGTGCCCTGAGCTCTGTTGCCATCAGCCCGTCACAATGGCCAGCAGCAGCAGCAGCAGCAGCAACAATATGAGAGGACTCATTGTGGGAAGAAGGTACCAACTGGTAAGGAAGATCGGGTCAGGCTCCTTCGGGGACATTTATCTGTCGGTTGACATCACTAACGGCCAGGAAGTGGCGGTCAAGTTAGAATCCAGGAGGGCCAAGCAGCCCATCCTGCAGTTCGAGAGCAGGTGCTACAGGATTCTGGAGGGTGGAGTGGGCATCCCCCGCGTAAGGTGGTGTGGTCTGGAAAAAGGCTACAATGCCCTGGTCATGGACCTGCTGGGACCCAGCCTGGAAGACCGCTTCAATTTCTGCTCGCGGAAGTTCACCATGAAAACCGTACTTTTGCTGGCTGACCAGATGATCAGCAGAATTGAATACGTGCACAGCAAGGATTTTATACACCGAGACATCAAGCCACAGAACTTCCTCTTAGGCAGCGGACGTCAGAAGAACAAGCTCTTCCTGATTGACTTTGGATTGGCCAAAAGGTACCGCTCCAGCCGCACAGGGCAACACATTCCCTATAGAGAATACGCGTCCCTCACCGGCACTCCCCGATATGCCAGCATCAATGCCCATCTTGGTATTGAGCAGAGTCGCCGAGATGACCTGGAGTCCTTAGGATACGTCTTGATGTATTTCAACACCAGCAAGCTGCCGTGGCAGGCCCTGAAAGGTCCCACAAAGAAACAGCGCAGCGAAATGCTCACTGAAGTGAAGATGAACACTCCTGTGGACGTGTTATGCAAGGGCTTTCCCGCAGAGTTCGCCACTTACTTGAAATACTGTCGGGAGCTGACCTTTGACGAAACTCCAGACTACACCTATCTCAAGCAGCTCTTCCGCAACCTTTTAGAGACCCTGGGTGACCCAAGTGACTGCACATTTGACTGGACAGTGTTGGAGCAGAGAGCAGCCCAGCAGGCAGGTTCTTGTGCTGGGCAGGGTCAACAGTCACAGCCACCCCCCGATTTTCAAGCATGACCTGTGTGTCCGAAGGAGCAGAGCAGGTGGCAGGAGCAGCATTGGAGTCCCTCCAAAACTAGCCTTTTCAGGGCATATGTACACATTCACCTGTGCTTGGGGCAGCACTTACTGGTGTTAAAAGCTTAACTTCATTGCAAACTGGCTCTGCAGTATTGGTGCTTTTGTGTTGGGAGTTGTAATCTCTGCTTTGTGAATCTCAACTGAAAGAGTGAGTAGTGTGGCATACGATTTTCTCTTCTGTTTACCAAGTTGGAGAGTTAGCTAAGTGCTCAACATAGGCAAATGGGTTAGAAATTTTGATGTACCTTTTTTTGTAAGCTCTAAAGCTCTTTTATTCTGAAGTACACTGCTTTGAAGTCTCATTTTGCAAGGAAGGAATGGAGCATCTGCAGCCACAGCTGTAGAGATTGTAAATGTACACCGTTGTGCATTCTTAGCGATGTTCCTCTACCTTAGGAGTTCCCAAGTTGTTCACTGAAACCATTCTTAACCTGCTCAGCTTCTGGGTTGGAAGGCTGATGACAGAGTAGCAAGGTCCCCGTGTTTGAACACATGAATGAGGACCTGCTTACCTGCGCTCGAAAGAGCAACAGCTGAGGTTGAGCCTTTCCTTACTTCATCCTTAGAGTACAGCTAGGCTGGTGATGAGTTTTCCAAATTTGTAGTCATAAGATATTCATTTATTCTAGTAAAACCTGGGAGTCACCAAGGACTTCCAGGTCATTATTAATTAACCCTTTTCAGGAGAGTGTTTTCAGATAAAATCATTCCATAGGTAGTCACCTTCTTTCACTTTCCATTTTTAAAATGTGCTTGTGGATCTTTCTAGTTATGTGTTTTAAAAGTGTGTTCCTTTTTTGCTGATGGAGTAACATTAGATGAATGTATGCTTTGGTAATCGTTACTACTTAGAGACAATTTATTCTATTCAGGATTATAAGTGACTGCATTAAGGATGCTGACAGTGGTCGTCAGCTGTTGTGAATTGTAATTTTCATCTTATTGAGGGAGGATCCTTGGAGAGCAGCTTCTTTTCTTCTTGTCAGTATTAAAAAGGTCCAGTGGAGGGCCCGTTTAGCAGTCAGTGGTTGAAACGCCATGTGTCCTAATGGTGGCATTGCGTCCTAGCCTGTGTACACTGGTTTAAAAATGTACTGAAAGA